GACAAATCAACACTCACTCATTACACCAGACAGTCCCTCAATATACTCACAGAGAGAAGAGCTCCCAGACTCAAGTCTGCCAAGGGTCCGATTTTAAGCTTCAACGGTTTTTGGCTTCGTTGAATAAAAAATTGAAGCATAAACTTGAAGTGGCGAGATTGCCGATACCAGTCGGTCTCGAAGGCCAAATCCCCCAATCCGCAGCTCTAAACCCCCCCAGCCCAGTGGATTACCACACAAGTGGAGAAAAATTGCATTGCAACTCACCAAAAAAATCACTTGGCTTCCGGAGAAGTAAATGTAGCACTCGCGAACGAAGGTGAGCGTCAGCAGCGACAGCGTGAAGACAAGCACCATAAAGTCCACAGACTTGGACTGAAAAACCCTCATTGAACACCACAATTACCCGATATCCTCCAACATACCATTCCCATTACACAGCAAATAGAAGTAATGCGAAACGATGATTGGACGAAGTCCATCAGCATCATGCCGCTGAAGTTCTTATTGGTCAAATCCAAAAATCTGCAAAGCGACTTCCTCAAACCCCCATTAATTGGGCACATGCAACTTACTCGATAACGCGCCAGTGCATCTGGATGCATTTTTCAAACATCCGAATATAAGAGACACTTTCCTCAACTTCCTCCTGCTCCTCCAGCCGCTTAGAGTAGTGCTCAAAGTGTTGGAAATAGTGTTGCAGCATCTGCAACTGGACCACTGGATGCCGGATGAGGCAGAAAAACAGAGCATCGGTGGTCACTTGCGACAAAACCAGCAGGCCAATGAAGAAGCTTGAAAGGCAAAAAGTTTCCTATAAACAGGGGTGAGAAACCGCCCCAAAAAAACTTGCCCAGTAATACACATGCTGATCAAAAGGAAACCACAACGACAAAAGAAAAGGCTTCGATATTCCCGTGGCATCTTGAGCGCCAGCCTCCTGGTAGTAAAAAGGCATTACCATATATTCTACACATATTGCACAGAGTACTGCAACATATGCGAAAAAGTGCCGCTTGAAAAACAACCGTTCCTTTTCAGCAATTCGCCAAACCTGCAACAGCCACAGGCAACTGATCAGAACCACTCTACAAACCTGCAAAAACTCACTGCAAAATCCTCGGTCTCTCCATAAAGACGCTCAGCACTGCCAACCATGCTCAGAAGGCGCGCCACATCAGGACTATATCGAATAAACATCTGTCTGAGCAACATCAGAATCAACAGCAGAGAGATTGAAATGTTCTTCACGATTTCCTCATAGCGAAGCTCTTGGGCCGATAGCAGGATATACAGCTGAGTATACGAAGAGATGAAGCACAACACCATGAGGAGCTTTAGGAAGTTGTTGTACATTCGGTAGGCGATTGCAGTTGAGTGGTTTGCGGACAGAAGATTGGCTGGATAGAGGCCTGCACACATGCAAACTGTGGCCACAAAGGCCAGATGGTTTCCTCGAGGAATGAGCTGGAAGAGGAAAACGCTGCAACTAATGGAGGAAATTGAAGAGGAGCGTTGCTTACCGCCATGGTCAGAGGATCAGTGAAGATTCGCATCATTCCTGATGCGTTTTATTTAAATATATGCTGATCATGCCCTAGGAAATCAGGGCCGAGTTGGGGATGATTGAATCTCCCGTGTGAAATTGCGAGCGAATAGAAGATGAAAAGGGCCTTTGCAGGCTGGCCATAAATAGATGAACTCATTCATCCTGATTCAATTGCACAACTTTTCCGAATAGGAGAAGCAAGAGTTTTCAGATAAAGAATTTCGAAAATTCTCTCATACGGCCCTGGATTTTGACTCGAACACATCAATGATTAAAAGGGGTTGATGTCGTAAGTAAATAATTGCAACTCAGTGAAGCAAGCTTATATAAATAATTCAACTAAATTTGCCCTTAGCCATCCAGGAATAGTAGGTTGGGATGGCCGAAGCCAGTAGGAATTCCTATAATTATTTATAATTATCAACAATTATAAACATAATTTTTCGGATTAATAATAAAGCCTGGTTCTCATGGATAACGGCAAATAATTATCCCTCTAGTTGACTTGCTTGATAAAAATAATATCGAGCCAAATGGGACGTTTTACATACGTGGCTTTTGTGCTGAATTGATTGGTTCTGACCCAATAAACCTCTCAGGGTGCGCATGGGAGGCTGTGGTTCCTTAATAAGAAAGATTTTGTTGGTAAAAAGTAGGGACTGTTCACAAATTAGAGTTGGAATAAACGGTTATTTTTCTGTAACAAGGTTACAACGTTCCACGTTGGTAATAGGTTGCAAAATGCGGTTCCAAAAGGAACATGTTACTTTTAAAAATCTTCATTAAACATGCGCAATGATGATGATGGTAGAAAGAGTAATGACAAATAATGATTTAGTTTACTAAAAGAATATTTCTTAACTAAAGCTCTTAGATCAAATAAAATATTGTAAAGTGAAAAACAAAACATGGCTCAGAAGTAGAACAAAAGAACTGATAATAAACTAGATAAAATATGTAAATAAAAACTGATTAAATAAACTATACGCTTTATTTGAAAAAATTTTTAAAAATCTAATGCAAGTGAAAGAGTTGAATTTTTTTTTCATCCGTCCGTTATGCAAACTACTACTTCTGGAAAAAATTGGCACACAATGCAAAATAAATATTATTAAAGCTCAAGTAAGTTAACGCACTCACTTGAACAATGGCCAGGACAAACTTGAAATGAATGGTTTTCTACACAGGAGAGATTAAAATTAATCATGTAGAAACATTTTATTTGAGCAAATAGTAGTGGGCTTATGGTTATTTTATCAAGGCATTCGGTGTTTGGACAGTAACCGGGTTTCTTAAGTCCTAAACTTGTCCAAAA